CAAGGAGGCAGTCAGAGTAATAGGTATGTGGGCAATCTGACACAGTCATATTCTTCATGGAATAAAGCATGCAGTGATTGGTGGGGGCTAATGAGAGGGGTGAGCTTGTGCAATCAAAAAAAGAAGCATTAGATTTACTTAAAAATGGTACATGAAGTGGTTAAACACAGTTCTTTTGAGTAACTTCGACACGAATCGTAAACTTTAGGCCAGTTTAATTACATTAATTGGAATGTACTCATCTCAGTTATGTGGAATTAGCTGACATAACTTTATCAAGTAAATCTAACATTCAATTTTATAACTTCTTGAGCAGAAAAACAATGGGTCAAACCAAAAATGGCAACATATGAAGTTATTAATGGTCTTAACACATTTTATTTAGTACAGGTTAGCTTTTTCCTTATATTTATTTAGTTTTTTGAGGGCATTTACAGACAGCTTTTTTAATGAAAGGAGACTTGAGGAATAACATCTGATCATTCTGCTTAAAACAACTTTTTGATTGTGGAATGCCAGTCTTACTGCAATATTCTCCCATACTCCAAAGGAGTGAGAAAGTTTCCAGCTTTTTCCCCTAACAGTTCACTACAGCAAAAGATGACAAGCAAATGTTGGCAGAGATGGTCTCTGGAGTGCATTTGCTAATGTTCTGACCGATAATGTAATGGTGCGTTCAGGAACCATACGCGAGTACCAAAATTCCAAAAATCGTAAGCCTTTATTACAAAATGGGTCAAAACCAGAAAACACAAGAATTGCCAAGCCAAAGTTGATAAACAGGCAGGGGTCGAAACCAGAGAAGCTGATGTGCAACGGTACATAAAACAGTCATCCAAAATCGTGGTCAAAATCCAGAAGGGTAGGTCATACACAGGGCGTCAAATAACAAGAATCGTGGTCGTACAGAAAAAGGGTCAGAATCCAGAAAGTAGCAAACAAGAACAAGGAGGGGCAAGGCAATCTCAAGGTCGTACAAAAAAATGTCGTAGTTAGAAGCAATAATCAAAAGGCATTCGAGGCTCTCTGCACTAGTGAAAATTGATCAATGTTCTGACAGGGTAAAAGCTGCAGTGAAGACCTTAAATGGACAAGAGGGAAGTCACATGCTATGCAGGGCCAGGTGATTTGGATTAGAACTAATTACAAAGGGAAATACACATGGGGAAGTCCTAAAGACAATAATTGGCAGGAGCCAAGACATGGACAGGATTCACATAGACAACCTATGTCAGATAAACGGCTCCGGGCAAGGAGTTCTACGTGCGCAGATCAAAGAGTGCAGGATAGCAATTAAGCACGTGCGAGAGATTTCGCAGAAGCACAGGGAGATACAGGGAAAGTAAAGCAAGGGGCGGAGACTAGAACAGGGCGAGTGCTGAGATTGCGTTAGAAGTCATTAGTAGCGGTGCAACTTTACAAATTAACCCAAGTGCTCCTTAGTTGGTTAGTAGTATGTACATGGGTTAGTTAGGTTAGTAAATATAATACAAAATATAAATGTTAGTATATTAGTAATCAAGGAAAGCAGGGCGAAAGAACTAAATGAGAATTGAAGTAATAATGTGAAACACCAGAAACCACTGAAATCACCCGAAGCATGTGAGCACGCAGACTGGGAGGATGGACTGTACCATACTGGTCACAAGACAGGGGTGACAAGTGCAATGAATACAGAAATGGCATAAACAGAAAAACCAGGATGTATAATAAGCAAAATCAATAAATAAAAGACATGGGCAGAACCAGAATCATGACAAATAACATTTTGTTAAGACAATAAAAACCTTATAATTTTGCCATTAAGGGCTTGGCCGATTCCTCCCCCAGGAGTGTACATGAGTGCACGCCAGTGTGCCTGCCGGTGTTCATATCCTTAAGTGCAGCTTGAGTTTCACCTGACAACAAATTTACTTCAATTTAGCAGTGATTACTCCATGTCAATGCAATTCATGAAACAGGCTTAAAAGCTTTTGACAATTGGGCGGAATAGTGTGTATGTAATGATTTACATGATGAATAAAAATCTAGCATATTGAGCGAGGAGCTATTCCACTGAGAAGCAGCATTATTGAGAACATAAGCAATATAAACATATTGAGATATTGCGGTTCTGTTGTGGAAAATTAACCAAAAGTTGTGCAGAATTATACAAATATTGTTTCAAAAACTTCAATTGTCATCCGAGAGTGGGGCCACAGTAGTTGCCAAAACATTTCTCATTGTGTGCATCAAAATAACTAAATTCAGCCATTAAAGCTGGAGTACTTTTTTTGTCATCATCGGGAGAAATTCCATAATAACATTTCAGAATATTCAAGTGGCCTAATAGAAAACTAGACATTTCTTCTTGGCCTTGTTCTCTGGCTGATGAAAGGATGCCCATGAAGGCAGACCTTAGCCAATCTCAGGTCGTTTCTGGGAGAAACATTGGCTGCTCCACAAATGCAGACGCACATGCGCAGCCCTTGGTGAAATCAGGATTCAGTGAAAGAAAACAATAAAAGCTTATAGTTTCCTGAATTCTGTGGAGGAAAATCCTGCAGATAAATTTGCTATTCTGGCAACAAGTGAATACCTGAAAATCAACACAGAAGACAGACGTATCAAACAGTCTGAAAAAGAGTCTGACAAACAATGCAATGAATCGCACGTAAATATTGGCAAAGCGTTTAAGAAATATCGAAATCAAGTTGGATTCCGAGCTTGCTGTTCTTGCCCTCGGCGGGGAGCTGCCAGCTATCTTCATTTTCTACTAATGTATAAATGTATTGCAGTGTTCGGTTGGGTTGGGTTGTGTAGCTTGATACAACATGGAAGTAGCGAGGAGTGGTTATATTGAATGTTGTTAATAGTTTATCCTTCTGCTCACTATAGCCGAAACCTCACGTCTGCGGCCAAATGAAGTTTATTTTTATGTAGCTAGGTAAAGCCTGGAATTGCAGTATGTTGTTTCTAAGGGCTATGCGGTCCCACAAAATTGCAAAGAAAATAAGACAGAAATTTCCGTAGAATTTCCAATATGTAACAACATCTGGATCACAATCTTAATCGGGGTGATTGAAATGTGTGACTAGTAACAACGATATCGCCCTATGCTAACCGTTGTGACTAGTCACTCATAGCTGCTGCTAATGCTCACGGGTAGTTGCCTCTGGTCAAGCCCATGGATCAAGCTTGTTGCGTTGGTGTATGAAGTGCCTGCATATTCCTGTGCTCTTCTGGTGGGAGGGGCTTAGGACAGAGAGGGTAGGGGCAAGAGCTGCAGAAGGTGTAGTTTAAAAATCTGGCTTTTTTTCCATACCCTAGCCTAAAAACGATTAAAATACGGAAAAAAAAAAGATATGGTTTCCTAAACGCAAATAATGTGGTTATTTTTTTCAGGTTATACTAATTGTATTGGCAATTCTAATCAGCAGCCATGTGTTTTCAGGTTAGAAATCAAATCACCTGCTCAGAGCACTTAATCTTACAAAATGTGAAGCATTCGCTAATGCCATCCTGCATGATTTATCAGGAGAAAATGGGTCAATGTCATTTACCTGCATAACCTGTCCCAATGCTTGCTAGCCCATTTCTTAGCAGTCCATTAGTGATTGTTTGAACACATTATTTATATTCCCTAGACTGAGTTTTTAATGTCATAAGTATGGTCAATTCATTAAGTATAATTTATTACCAGAATATTAAAGAGGGTTTTTTTTTTTCCTTTTAACCTAAGCCCTTTTCCCAGGTTGTCAATAGTTAAATGTGACACAGCTGCTACACAAACTCCAGGCAACGGAGAGAATGGGGTGCACAGATAGTGTTCAAAAAGCACTTAAAACACACGTTTTCGTAAACGGGAAAGTCAACAAACAATTACTGGCGTATATTGATGTTCTAACACAAATTCGTTAGAAAGTACATTTCCTATCGGATTTTATTTAGCATGTCTGTAAAGTCATTGAATCCCTATCTATCCTCAAGGATATATATGAACCAGAGACTGGATGTTGAACTTTTATGATATTTATTAGTTTTCCAACAGTAGTCACTCATTTTGTTGAGAGGTTAGACACACCAGAAAGACTACAAACTATCTTCACTGTTCGTAGGTTTGGTTCAAAAGGTGACGCTGAAATTTACAAGCTTGTGGGAGTAGAGCGAGGAAAAGCTGTTCAGAAAATTTAAACGGCGAATCAAAAGAGGGTCATCATAAAACGTAAATTGCAAAAATGCAACTGTGACCGCTCAGTGAGTTTCCTGTCTTTGAAAAAGTTTTATGTGCTTTTTGAACGTATGTGTACACGCCCTATTCTCCCCTTTATTAGCTTTACTGGCCTCCATTCTGATTACTGGACTGTTTTTAAATGTTTTGATAAAGATGGTTATATTTGACCACTGACAACTTGAAACAACGGCTTCGGTAAAAAAAAAAAAAAATCTTCTTTCAGCTAAAAAAAGATTTCATTATCATAAAATTATCTCACCCACACGCACACACATTTGTCGATCTGCACACACACACACACATACACACATTATAGTACAGGGTATGAAGAATTACATGGAGGCTCAGGCACGTAGCGTGTCCACCGTGGCCACATGGTGTGTGGGAGGATGTTTAGTAAGATGTGCGCTCACGGAGGTGTTGCATTGCCCTGATATCAAAAAGCCCGAGGAGTCCTACTGGGTGAGCAACTTCTGCTAGCAGCGGAGAGACCTGTTTCCATGGTACACGCAGCCCACCTGAACAATGAAAAGTGTTAGCAGCCAAAAATACCCCATATGTGAAGTTACACACAGCAGTCACGACAGTCTTATGAAACAGAACAGATAATTAAGTCTAATAAACTGCATTTTACTGTCACTCCAAATTATACATTCATCACTTTGCAAAAAAAAATAATAAAATAATTAAATAATGAAATTATGAAGTGGACTATATGTGACAGTTGATGGGTCCTGTCACTAGAATGACTCCTAATAAGTACGCACCCTGGCCACCTTGCCAACGAGCCTGGTTCTTTGGTGTTGTGGTCAGCACGTGTGATTCTTACCCGGGAGTTTGGGGTTCAAGTCCCCACCCGGGCCCTCCTTCAACCTGCCACATATAAACCATTCAGTCCTAAATTTGTCTGAAGTGTATCCATCATCCAGGATGGCACTAAAGTATCAATCTTTTAGGTGTCTTGGTAATAGCAGAGTAACATTTCGGGCAACTGGGTATGTCCCCTAGGGCGCTACACTCTCAAGAGGCACCGAGCAAGCTGAGGCACAGCTCACAGAGTCTCGCATTGATGCGAGCTTCAGCTGGAACCAATGGTAGATTCATGTATTCTTTAAGCAGAGCCAAGATAAAGACTTAAGGGCTTTAAAATGCAACATTTCCTGACTTTTCATTTCCAGTCTCTAAGTGTACATTTGGCAGGAAGATAATCAAACAATATGTGATTTACAGCTTATCCCATACAAACAATTGTAATCTGCGTTGGCAATCTCTGACCATCTCATTCAGTCATTCATCTAAGTGTAATTGAGAGAGCATCCTTTTTTATATTCATAAGTTCAGGCCAAATGACTTGGAGCAGTTTGATAGCTGTCCAGCTCACCAAGCCCCAGCCACCCTGCTTACATGGAGAGAAATCAGTGGCTCGGAGGATTTTTTATTTTCATTTAGTTTAGTTTAGTTTATTTGACAATATACGTACAAATACAAGTGCTAACAATTAAAACAGTCAACACATGTACGAGATATTGTCAGGGATAACATGAAAAAGCCCAGGACTTGTTTCCATCGTGGTCCTTGATGTTCATGAAGTCCACACACTCAATGTACAAGATGGAAACAGTTGGTCAAAGTCCATGATTGCATGAGGTAGGATTGGCAGGAATGTTCTGCTAAGTGTCAGATTCATTAACCCTTAAATGCCCAACTACAGTAAAAGTTGAAAGAAAATCTATGTATTCTGTTAATATGTCCTGGGGAGGGGCTAATAACAACCCAATAGCAATTTTTAATTTTTGGTGACCTTTGACCTCATTTTACTTTTGTGACATATATGTCACAATGGGCATTTTGGGGACCTTATTGCTAAAATGACTTGAATGATAAAACTGTTGACAAATAGCTGAAGTATTAGGCATAGCTTATTTTTCATCAGCTTACCTGTTTGTCTACTTTATCCAGTGATGAATGGGTGCTGATCTATCGTGTGGATTCCACCATGGGGCGGCCATATTGGAAAGGTTAGCTGGTGCAGCCAGTGTAGTGTCAGTTCCACTTTTATGCATCAGATGGCAGCACTGATGGTCTAAATATGTCACTATGGGCATTAGGTTGCAAAATTTATGTGGGGTCAGTGGTTTTGACAACCCCCAAAATCGTATGACAAATTTGTCACGGGGGCATTTAAGGGTTAAAATAACTGTATCATTATCTAGGGATGTTATCTAGCAACATGTACTTGACTTTTTTCTTAAATATTTCTATGTTACGAACTTATTTTATTTCAGACGGCAGCTTACCCCACTCCGTAGCAGCTGCATATAAGAAGGAAACCTTAGCCATCATAGCTTTAAATTTATGTTATGTTTAGTTTTAGGTTAGTTGCCCTTGCTGTGGTGTTGTAAGTATGTACATCTTCTAACTTAGTAAAATACTTACTGAGGACATGCTTAAAGAGAGGGGGATGGGCATTTTTTCTCTTTCACAAGAAGATATTATGTATTGTTGTTTAATAATTAGGGGTGTCTTCGACTAAGGATTTTCATAGTCGAATCTGATTCGTCGGATTTTGCCCATAGTCAACTGATCATCGAATCATGTTTTTTTTTTTAAATAAATGAACACATATTTTGCATCACTGCACTTGACTCATCATGGTACTAAAATGACAATTTTCTGTGTCAGTTTCATTATTTACCATTTCATTCTGATAAAAGCTTACCCTGATATTTATTTTTTTTGTTTAAATTTTATGTCGTCATACATAACATGCTCTGTCTCGCTGCTCACTCACTTTTCCTAACTGTGAGATTGCTCTTAGGGTCTTATTGGCATCGGGGTAGCAAAGCTGTTCGAAGTTAAAACTAATTTAAAACTATTTTTGGACCTAAATGTCGCAGGAGAGACTATGCAGGCACACCCTTCTGTCTATCGAAAAAGACGTTGCATCCAGGCTGGATTATAAGGACTTAATTGCTGAGTTTGCGGCCCAAAAGGCAAGGAAAGTGACCATCACCTAATCAATGAATAGTGAGCAGGAATCTGATGTTTTAAAGTCATACTGCAGCAGAGCATTTATGTCGGACTAGTATTAGAAAATATACTGCATCGTAATCAAATGTTAAACTGTCGCGGATGTCAGCAGATACTACGCCTTTGTTCATCTGAGACTTTTCCATAGAAATGAGTAAAAATAAGCAATTGTCACCAGTGAGTGTGAGCCATTAGGTATTAGTGTTTATTGAATTGTAATTCGTGATGCACTGTCATACTTCAACATGCCAATATAAAGTGACAGCTGAGCTGATTTGATGATAAAAGCCAATCGTTGTGCAGCTGATTTTTTCCTTTGAAAGATTATGATATTCAAAAAAACATAGTTGAAATTATTGCCACAATAATGCTGTTTTAGTCTAAAAATGCATGTCATTTCACTGGGTATAACGAGAACAGCTATGTGTTGCAGCCTGACATGATTAATGCGCGTGCATGTGAGCGGGGCCTCGCGCATCAAGTCGGCACAGGGCCTCGCACCCCCCTGCGACGGCGTTGACTGCAGCGGGTGATTTATTAATGCGTAGTAAGTATAGGTCTACTGTTTAAACGCACACGTCATTAGGCTGATTTTGTATCAAAATAGGCTATATATAATGAAAAAAAAAGAAATTCTATGTAAAGATTTATGCTCAGCAGCCTGGGCACCCCCATGCAGTCAGAATGGTACGATCTCGGTCACATAACAACATTTTCCAACGATTCGACTACGAGGCTGATCGTCGAATCAGACTCCTCTGAATCGAATCGTCGAATAGTCGACTATTCCTGGTCACCCCTATTAATAATATTCATTTATCAAGTAGACTATTTTTTGTGACGGTATATTTTTGTTTCATTGTGTAATATTTCAATTATTAATTAAAAATTGAATTATTTTTTGAAGAGCCAGCATTTTCTTATTTCAGAGAGTATCTCCAACTTCCAATTGCTGTCTATGGCTCTGGACAAGAGGAGTCTGCAAAGAGAATGTCATGTAATTCAGTGATGGACAGGTCGACCAAAAGATGCTTATTTGAATGAGTACAAGGTATTTCATCTATCTTACACTCACAGAGATAAAATACACTATTTCTTAACACAGCTCTGTATTCATATAAGTTTAGATGGATTGACATTTTAATGGCCAGACAGACAAACAGACAGACAGGCAGGCAGGCGGACATACAGACAGACATACAGATAGATAGATAGATAGATAAGCACAGAGTAAAGGACTATCTCTGCTATTCTGATACCCGTGACGCGAGTACAATGAAAACATCAGTTCTAAAGCAGTACTTCACAGCAAGTGTCCCCAAAATGCCACTGAACCGTTAAAATCTGGGGAACTGTTCATTGGGCAATTACTTCACTTCTGTCAGCCAATTTGTGCGGCTCTGCAAATACTTCTGCAAGTGTATCCCCTCTGCATGACCATGCATTCATTTTGTTGTGAGTCCTTTAAACTGAAAACGAGGGCAACTTTAGAGAAGTATAACAGGCAAGGTGAACTTCCTGTCTTATGATGAAAACCTTTTCTTCTTTCTTTAGACCATTCATAGTGTATTAATGGAAACTGTTCCCTCCCTTCGACAACAAGACAGGAATATGGATGCAACTGAATTGCTTTCAGAAACACTTCAATAGAAAAGAGTGCATCACATTGAGAAGAACATGTAAGATTATGGCTTATCTGATGTATCATAAGATTCACTGTTATGTTGCTTCTTTTAAAAAAAATCAAAGGAGCACCTGAGGTTACAGCGGATAACACTTCTGTGCTAAAAACGAAAGGGTTGACTAAAGTGGAACAAACAACCTTCACGACCAGAGATCAGCAAAGTGTGATTGTGCCAGAGCCAGTCAGAACATAATTGAGAGAGCACATGCTCTCACTTCAATTACAACTGACCTAAAATACCGACATAAAACAAATGAACCATTAATGTAGATGAAACAATTCACATTAGTGCTGTTAATCCCATAACCGTACAGAGGGTATTTTAACCCCCGCGCCATTTGTTGATTATCTGAGGAAGCTGCATTTGGCTGGTACTGCATGTACAGTATATCACTGCGAGTGTATATAAGGATAAAACCTTGCATTAAATCAATTTCTGAAAACAGTTTTTAATGTAACAAGTACAACGTACAACTCAGATCTCATGCATATAGTAAAATGTGATAAGGTCTCGCTATAGGCAGACTTAGAAAGAGAATAGTGTTTATATAGAAACACCTAAATTAATCACTGCTAAAATGAGAGCACTGTAATACTTTTGATACACATACCTGCTGCACAATAACTTTTTATTTTATTTATCATGAAAAACGTGCACACAGGAATTCTGATTAGTGAGTACTATCTTGGGTTGCATAGCCTTAAGTATAAAATTGAAAAAGAAAAAAAAAAAACATTTCAGTGGAGGAACTCTGAAAGTTAAATGTAATTTGTTTCAATAGACCAAGTTGTTTTTACAATGAATTTGATCAGGGAACATTCAAAACGACCCATGCGTCAAATTCCCTGCCCACTTTTGAGAAAATTGTACTTTGAACAAAAATCCCTGCTCTCCCAAGGAAATAAATAAGAAAATAAGACGTGCGTGTTGAGGTTGGTTTCTGACCAAGAGCTGTTGAATGCTTGCTTAATCTTAACATTATCATGAAAAGAAGAAACAAAACACAACCTCAACTCAGAGACGGCTGGGACAGTATAGGAAGTACCCATAAAACAGGAAGCAGTGATATCTAAATTCATGTTGACTTGTATTTCATTGTAAACTGTAAGAAGACAAGATAGTTAATCTTTTGTCGGGTCAACTTAATT